GTCTTCAGCTTCCAACTGGTCCCCTTGTTATTTGTGCCCAACTTGGAACATCCTGTCTTTGTCCACCTTGTCAATTCCTCTCAGTATTTTGTATGTCGTTATCATGTCCCCCCTATCTCTCCTGTCCTCCAGTGTCGTCAGGTTGATTTCCCTTACCTCTCCTTGTAGGACATACCTCTTAGCTCTGGGACTAGTCTTGTTGCAAACCTTTGCACTTTCTTAGTTTCTTTACGTGCTTGGCTAGGTGTGGGTTCCAAACTGGTGCCGCATATCCAATATGGGCCTAACGTATACGGTGTACGGGGTCCTGAACGATTCCTTATTAAGATGTCGGAATGCTGTTCTGAGTTGCTAGGCGCCCATATGCTGCAGCAGTTATTTGGTTGATGTGCGCTTCAGGAGATGTGCCTGGTGTTATACCACCCAAGATCTTTTTCCTTGAGTGAGGTTTGTAGTCTCTGACCCCCTAGACTGTACTCCGTCTGCGGCCTTCTTTGCCCTTCCCCAATCTTCATGACTTTGCACTTGGTGGATTGAAAATCCAGGAGCCAATTGCTGGACCAGGTCTGCAGCCTGTCCAGATCCCTTTGTAGTTCTGCCTGGTCTTCGTCGAGTGTATTCTTCTCATCAACTTCACGTCATCTGCAAAAAGGGACACCTCAGAGTCTATTCCTTCCGTCATGTCGTTCACAAATACCAGAAACCCGCACTGGTCCTAGGACTGACCCCTGTGGGACCCGCTGGTCACAGGTGCCCACTCTGACACCTCGCCACGTACCATGACTCGCTGCTGTCTTCCTGACAAGTATTCCCTGATCCATTGTAGTGCCTTCCCTGTTATCCCTGCTTGGTCCTCCAGTTTTTGCACCAATCTCTTTTTGTGGAACTGTGTCAACGCCTTCTTGCAGTCCAAGAAAATGCAATTCCACCCACCCCTCTCTCTCTTGTCTTACTGCTGTCACCATGTCATAGAACTCCAGTAGGTTTGTGACACAGGATTTCCCGTCCCTGAAACCATGCTGGCTGCTGTTGATGAGATCATTCCTTTCTAGGGGTTCCACCACTCTTCTCCTGATAATCTTCTCCATGATTTTGCATACTATACATGTCAGTGTTGTGTGGTGTGTGTGTGTGTGTGTGTGTGTGTGTGTGTGTGTGTGTGTTGTGTGTGTGTGTGTGTGTGTGTGTGTGTGTGTTTGTGTGTGTGTGTGTGTGTGAGTGTGTGTGTGTGTGTGTGTGTATGTGTGTGTGTGTGTGTGTGTGTGTGTGTGTGTGCGTGTGTGTGTGGGGTGTGTGTGTGGTGTTCTGGAGTGTACTGTATTAGCACCTCTGGTTCTCATCTGCTTCCAGTGCATCTGTTTCTGTTCCTGTTACGTCATGTCTGCTTAATAAGTCTTTCCTCTTCCTGCTGTGCAACTTGCTTTATCTGTCTGTGTGTTCGTACATGCACAGACAATATATGGAAAGTGTTGCACTCGCGGAGGTCTGCTGGCCTGGCTAGGCAAACACGCCTACTCATGTGGGCCGTGCTGCAGTGTTCCTTCTTTCTTATCTTATGTACCCGTCCACCTATTTTTGAAGCTACCCAAAGTTCTCGCTTTATTGGCGCTACTCAAGAGTTAGTATATTCAAGTACAGGTACACAAATACAGTTACATAAATGTATGAGTGGGGGTGGGTGGGTGTGAATTGGACCTGACTAGCTTGTGCTACTAGGTTTGATGCCGTGCTCCTTCCTTAAGTGGAAGTGACCTGACTAGGTGGGTCATTGGGCGAAGCTGGAGGGTGACATAGACCTGCTTCGCATGGGTCAGTAGGCCTGCTGCAGTGCTCCTCCTTTCTTATGTTCTTAAATTATCATACAGTATATGTGTAGATTACCCAGGATAGTTTACACATATACTGGGGATCCTTGTAACAGCCTACTACTGAAACCTTAAAAGTTATAACAGCTAAGTAACTCAACTATGTGAAAATCAGTTACAATAAAAGGAGATATACTAAGAATAAAGTAAACCGAGTTATTTACGTTAACATTCAATAGAGGATCAGATCAGAGTAATAGGTACATGTAACGGTAATAGGTACATATATCTTAGCTATACAAGCAATCATTCTCCTCCCTTTCTGGAGCTTCATTCATTAGCTACCTTTCAGCTTTCTGAACTGGCATGTTCTAGGCATATTCCCCTAAGAAAGAAGAAGAGCAGGAGTAAACTGGAGAGAAAAAGACGCTCCCTCTACAGAAGACGACGAAGAGTCACTGAGCTCCTCAGGAGTGCTAGAATATCTGATACACGAAAGGAGGCGCTGACCAGGGAAGTGGAAACTATCGAACTTAAGCTAAATGACTCTTACAGGAACCAGGAGAGGCAGGAGGAGCTTAAAGCTATTAGTGAAATTGAAAGAAATTCCAAATATTTCTTTTCATATGCCAAAAACAAGGCAAATACCACATCTAGTATCGGGCCCTTACTCAGACAGGATGGGACTTACACAGACGACAACAAGGAAATGAGTGAAATATTGAAATCCCAGTACGACTCTGTGTTTAGTGAACCACTAATCGGTCTGAGGATCGACGACCCAAATGATTTCTTCATGAATGAGCCTCAAAACTCCATAAATGTATGCCAGATTTCCGACATTACCCTAACTCCGATAGATTTCGAAAAAGCCATTGACAACATGCCTATGCACTCAGCCCCGGGCCCAGACTCGTGGAACTCTGTTTTCATTAAGAACTGCAAGAAACCCTCTCGCATGCCCTAAGTACACTATGGAGGAGGAGCCTGGACATGGTGAAATTCCACAGTCACTTAAAACAACGGATATAGCCCCACTCCATAAAGGTGGCAGCAAAGCATTAGCTAAGAACTATAGACCAATAGCTCTGACGTCCCACATCATAAAAATCTTTGAAAGAGTGCTAAGAAGCAGGATTGCAAATCACCTGGATTCCCAAAATCTGCACAATCCAGGGCAACATGGGTTCAGGGCAGGTCGCTCCTGCCTCTCACAACTACTGGATCACTATGACATGGCCTTGGATGCACTGGAAGAAAATCAGAATGCAGATGTAATATACACAGACTTTGCAAAAGCATTTGACAAATGCGATCATGGCGTAATAGCCCATAAAATACGTGCTAAAGGAATAACTGGGAAAGTGGGGAGATGGATCTTCAACTTCCTAACAAATCGAACACAAAGAGTAGTGGTCAACAGAGTTAAATCGGAGGCTGCCATAGTGAAGAGCTCTGTTCCACAAGGCACAGTACTCGCCCCCATCTTATTCCTTATCCTCATATCAGACATTAAACAGAGATATACACCACAGCACCGTATCATCCTTTGCGGATGATACTAGGATCTGCATGAGGCTGTCATCTGCTGAGGACGCGGTTAACCTCCAAGAAGATATAAAACAAAGTTTTCCAGTGGGCAACGGTAAACAATATGATGTTCAATGAGGACAAATTCCAACTACTCCGTTATGGAAAACTGGAGGAGATAATAACTAGAACAGAGTATACTACTGACTCCGCCATACAATAGAGCGGAAAAATAATGTAAGGGACCTGGGAGTAGTAATGTCTGAGGATCTCACTTTCAAGGATCACAACAGTGCCACGATCGCACGTGCAAAGAAAATGATAGGATGGATAATGAGAACTTTCAAAACGAGAGATGCCAAGCCCATGATGATCCTTTTCAAATCACTTGTTCTCTCTAGGCTGGAATACTGCTGTACATTAACATCTCCATACAAAGCAGGTGAAATCGCAGATCTAGAGAGTGTACAGAGATCCTTTACTGCACGTATAAGTTCTGTCAAGCACCTTAACTACTGGGAACGCTTGAAAGCACTTGACTTGTACTCGTTGGAACGCAGGAGGGAGAGATATATCATAATCTACACTTGGAAAATCTTGGAAGGAATGGTCCCAAATCTGCACACAGAAATCACTCCCTACGAAAGTAAAAGACTGGGCAGGCGATGCAAAATGCCGCCAATAAAAAGTAGGGGCGCCATTGGTACACTAAGAGAAAAACACCATAAGTGTCCGGGGCCCAAAACTGTTCAACAGCCTCCCATCAAGCATTAGGGGAATTGCCAATAAACCCCTGGCTGCCTTCAAGAGAGAGCTGGACAGATACCTAAAGTCAGTGCCGGATCAGCCGGGCTGTGGCTCGTACGTCGGACTGCGTGCGGCCAGCAGTAACAGCCTAGTTGATCAGGCCCTGATCCATCGGGAGGCCTGGTCGTGGACCGGGCCGCGGGGGCGTTGATCCCCGGAATAACCTCCAGGTAACCTCCAGGTATGTATAAATTGTAATACCAAACCAGTGTCTCCCTGTATCCTTGGTCTCATCTTCATGTGTCTGCCAAACTTAAGCCTGGCCATAACATTAGACACTGTTTACATTGTAAGTTGAAAATTAGACACATTTGCGACATCTGGGTATCTTTAATTGTAGACGTTTCGCCAACCAGTGGCTTTATCAATATAGATTCTAGGACATAAATTGGAGACTATATACAAAAGATGAGGTAATTAATCCCTCAGTCTTTGAGTTGATGTGTAAAGCACCGTAGTTGAAGAGATTCTGGAGCACAAACAAGGAGACTGGCGCTTATATGGTTAATAAACCCCTATATATTAATATGGAACATGATTATAGCGATTAAATCTTAGCAATAGTTACCAGAATGCATCAACAACTATTCTTAGATTTATATTTGTATATAAATAAACAAGAAGAATTTTTAACCCAACAATAAAAATCTTCGAACGTTCAGAAATTTTAATATCATATTCACAATGAGCTAATTTAAAATTATCTCCATTTACTATTAGCTTAATTTTTTATACAGGATTTTTTTTCATCTTGAATACCAGTTTAGGCTGTTAAGAGAAGGGACAAATTCGTTTTTTTTAAACTCCGGGGGGGGGGGGGGGGGAGGGGAATGACGCGCCATAGGGTTAGCAGAGTGACTGAGGAGTCCAACAAGGGAGGATGCTGCTGGCCAGGTCTCCATCCTTGATGCGTACCTCCACCCTCTCCCTGTCCCCTTGTGGTTTTCTGTTCTTCAGCGAGCAGAAGGAGCAAGCGAAGTAACTTTTCCTGATATGGTAAGTGGTATTGCTTGATAAATGATAGGTATTTCATATGTATAATGCTTTGACTGGTGGGGCCGTCGGCGTCATTAGTAATGGCGGATGTGAAACTGATGCTGGTGAGAAGCTTTTGATATAAAGTCTGTATAGCCCTTGTGGTTTAGCGCTTCTTTTTGATTATAATAATAATTGATGTAAAGAATTGTACATTTGTTGCCTTTCCTTGGATCGAACCTGAATGCCTCTTAATTTTTCGGATGCTGCACGGCCCCTACTGATTTAGCTCTCCCATGAATAATGCAAAATGTTTATGTTATGCATTATATATTTTTTAAGCCATACTACTTTTATACTACTATGCTCAAAGAGCCTTTATGCTGATGAAGGGCTCTTGATCCAAAAAGTTGAGACCACCCTACCCTCCCTTTTCCTGGACTGAATCCGTCCTAAGGCAATGGATTTTGCTCCGTGAAATAAAAAATGCTAGTGATGTATGTGGTCAACAAAGATTCCAAACACCTAGAATAATTGAGTTGGCAGAACAACCCATTCGAGTATTATTATTATTATAATCAAAAAGAAGCGCTAAGCCGGATCAGCCGGGCTGTGGCTCGTACGTCGGACTGCGTGCGGCCAGCAGTAACAGCCTAGTTGATCAGGCCCTGATCCATCGGGAGGCCTGGTCGTGGACCGGGCCGCGGGGGCGTTGATCCCCGGAATAACCTCTAGGTAACCTCCAGGTAAGCCACAAGGGCTATACAGCGCTGCAGGGTAGGGAAGGAAGCGAGGGTATTGGATGGCAGAAGGGAGGAGGGATGATCAGTAGGTTACAGAAAACAGCGGGGCAGGGGATAGTACGGGGGTAGGGGGTAGCAAGAGATTGAAGTAGAAAGGGCTGAAGGTATCAGAATTTGTGAAGTCAGTTGTCAAAAAGTCAATGAGAGAGTCTGGATGAAAGGTGGGTCCATCAGCGAGAAGGGAAGGTAAAGAGAGAGCAGCAGAGCGAAGACGACGACGGAGGTAAATTCTGCGTGCTCGTTGATAAAGTGGGCAGTCCAACAGAATGTGGCTGACTGATAATGGAACTTGGCAATTCTCACAGAGAGGAGCAGGGCGCCTCTCCATGAGATATCCAATTCTCACAGAGAGGAGCAGGGCGCCTCTCCATGAGATATCCAATTCTCACAGAGAGGAGCAGGGCGCCTCTCCATGAGATATCCATGAGTAAGACGAGTAAGGAACAAAAGTAATTTAACGAGTTACATTCAAGGGGATACTTTTATCCCGGCTAAAGGCTCTCGATCCAAGGAATTTGAACTGCCGTCCCGTTCCTTGGATCAGTCCTTACGAGTCGAACGTTTCTCAGTGCATGAATTTGTGTATATAAATCACTGGCGTTGTGATGGGGGCAATGTGAGCCTTGCTTTTTTCGGTCTGGTAAATTTCTATTGTAAATTCTTTTTCTTAGTGATATATTATTGATACTTTTTTTCAGTCTGGTAAATCATTGTTGCAAGTGATTCATTGTAGTCTGGGAAACTACTTACTGTTACACATAGTAATGGATTGGGAAAGGGGGGGGGGGTGCGTATATACATGACTAAAGGGACACTCCCTCGGTAGGCAGGCAAACTACATGCTTCGTCTTGTATCACTTTGTAATGATGTGCGCTGCACAATTCTGATATAAGTTATTTTAGGTTATTTGCAGTTTTTTTAAGTTATTTGCAATTTATTTACGTTATTTGCATTTATTTAGGTTATTTGCAATTATTTAGGTTATTTACAATTTATTTAGGTTATTTTCAATTTAGATAATTTGCAATTTAATAGAAAGTAACGGCAGATAGCTTAAAAATATAAACAGCGGCTTCGTAAGCTTACGATATACATAGATAAATTGTTAAAATCCTAATGCTCATCTGTAAAATAACGAAGACGGGCTACGGTGAGATATGGACTTCCTGTCACCGCTGTATGACTGACAAATCAGAGGCGAGTATTTTGATAGCTACCTGAATTAATCTTGTCCTATTTATGCCATGATATTGGTAATGCTAGGAATTGGAACTAACCCCTCCTCCCTCTTTCATCAAATCAAACCTGATTACCGCCATTCCCCAGGGACTGGATGACGTACGGGTTTAGCGCTTCCTTGTGAAACTGATAAAAAGATTGACATCACATGATGTGAAGTGTATGTAGGTGTTCAGTGAACCATATTCTTATGAAGGACTTTGCGACTTGTCTGTTTTCTTATTTTTTTATTTAAATTTGCTGCAAAACCGCTTGCTTCCCTTGATGGGAAGTATGTACTTGGATGGAAGAAACTGGAGTTACCTTTCCCTTGGATCCAACCTGATTACCCCATCCTAGGGCGCTGTATGACCCATACGAGTTTGGCTCTTCCCTGTCAATATATTGGTAATGCATTCCCGCTTCATACACTAAACATAACACGTTGATTATATTGTGAAGTATGCATACAACTTTAATATATTGAGGCACATTAATATATCTATAATTCGTCTTAGTGTTGATATTATTTTAACTTAAGACCAGGGATTATTCCTAGGATAAAAAAGCGTTATTATCAAGCAAACTTGCTTTCATAATATAAGTTTCGTCAGTTTAAAATTTCGTTAAAATATTGCTTTAATCTATCGAAACTTAGACCGTATGACAGGTGAGTGAATCGTCCTGCTAGTGACAATTGTTTTTAATGTTCCCTCACGTCATTGCCCAACGAACCCACTCATGGTGCCACCCTCGTGTCTTACACTTTTTTTTCTAACCATTTAACATCAACATGGATAAGTTAATGGGTCTCTTGGGGCCTTTTTTTTTTTTTTTTTTTTTTTTTTTTTTACACGGTTTGACAAGGTTAAGGATCCCTAGCTTTATTGACAAGCTATTTACAGGTTAAGGAATCCTAACTTTATTGGCAAACTAAGAGCTGTTACCTACATCAGCTCATTTGAAAGCATTTCTATTGTTATGAGACATACAAGTAGGGAACAGGATGAAGTTGGAGCCATCTGTGGGCCAACATTTTCATTTGATCAACTGACTTTATCTCGTTGACATCATTATGCTGTACGTTATCGGTACAAAAGCATTTTTAATTGTTATCATGACTTAAGAAAGCAAGGGTTCAATCACGTCACTTCATTCAGAAAGAAAAAACAGACTTGTTACCATGTTGACGTTTTAACATTAGGTGCAGTATAAAACAAACTTAAGAGCTATAGGCAAGGTACTTAACCTGGTTCCTGCACATAACATTTGTATAAAGCAATAAACAATGAACAATTTCTTTGTGTAGTATACAAAGTAGTTTACATGTCATAAAATATTGTTAAGCAGAAAGAAAGCCACTAGCATGCTTGTGCAAATGGGGCAGACTAATCCTAATGCTTACAGACTACTTAAGATTAGACAGAGGCTATTGAGAGGTCAGTTTTAATATTATTACGAAAAGAGAGGTAGCAAAATATTACAATTAATAAAATTTATAATAATTCTTAGACTATTTAAGACTAGACATAGGTTATTGAGTGGTAAAATTTTAATTGTGCATTAATATAAAAAGAGAGGTAGTAAAAATATTACAATTAGAAGAATTTAGTGATCTTGAAATAATTGGAATTTATTAAGTAATTTCAAACTGGCTCAATGATTTCAGGCTATGGGATGATTATAAGGGTGAAAAAACTGAAGTAGATGGATGAGTTGGTTATGTTTGGTATAGGGAGAGGGGCGATTTTTAATTATAACTATATTGATTTGCAGACAAGGGAGCTTTTCCTAGTTCGGGAAATGAATTCCAGATCTTGGGGCCCTTTATCTGAATTGCATTTTTGCGTAAGGTGAGGAGGGCACTGGGGATGTCGAAGATAGTTTTGTGCCTTGTGTTGTGCCTGTGTTGTGCTGTAGCTATCAAGGAACAGTTTGAGAGGAGGGTTTATGTTGGAGTTTAATGTTCTAGGCACAGTAATATGAGTGCATATTTTGTATATTAAGGAAGTCCAAGCTCTTGAAGAGCGGAGGGGTGTTGTCAGGCGCAGGAATGGGTGATCATCCTCACAGCAGTTTTTTGTTGGGTTAGTAATAGTTTAAGGTGATTAGTCATAGCACATCCCAAAGCACAAGTACTTAGGCGAGGTAAGGGTAGATAATGGAGTGGCATAGTGTCATTTGGGGATGCCTTCTGTTTTGGAGACTTTCTTGGCTATATGCTGGATATGGGTATGAAATTTAAGATTGCAGTCACGATAAAGACCCAAAAAAAATTGCCCTCGGTGTGTCTTGTAATGGGGGAACGATTGATCAATATGTTAAGTTGGATATTTAAAGCTGTTTCCAAACAGCATGTAGTGGGTTTTGTCTATATTGAGAGGGAGTTTGTTGTTCGTCATCCACGTATTTATTTTTAGTAGATCGTCGTTAATAGTGTCACTAAGCATAGTCGGGTTTGAGTGGGAGAAGCCATAAGTAGTGTCATTGCGAATAGAACTGGTTTAAGGAGATGACATGCGATGGGGAGATGATGTAAATGAGAATGAGTAGAGAGCCAAGGACATCGCCTTGTGGCTTTCCTACGGCTACAGGTTCAGTAGACGAGATTACACCGTTTGTAGAGACATACTGGTGTCTATTGCTAAGATAAGATTTTAGGTATTCAAGGGTATGTCCTCTGACTGTAATGTTCTAATTTAAGGTGCAAGATATTGTGGTCCACTGTATCGAATGGTTTCCGCAGGTCGAAACCCAAATTGGCAAGGGTTAAGTATGTTGTGAGATATTAGCTAAGAGTAAACTCGCTTATATATTATTTCTTTCGAGGATTTTAGATATTATGACCACGTTTGATATAGGCCTATAATTATTCACTCAAGTTGGATCGCTTCCTTTGAGGATCAGGGTAACCCTTGCTGTCTTGAGTATGGATGGGAAAGTTGAAGATTCAACTGATTTGGTAAATAGTTGCAATAGTTGCACATGAGTTTTTTTTTTTGTACACGAGTGGTAGCAAGTTTCCTGTCTTGTTTTTTTAAGTGACTATGATGAGTGAGACTTCAGTAGGATTGGTAGGAGATAAATATAGAGTATTTGGGTAATTTCAAGTAAGATAGTCTTTCGGATTTTGCTTGCTAGTTTTTGATCTTATGGCAGTGTCTGCAGGCTGGATGTATGGTTCATCTGGTTTAGTTAAGTTTATATCTCAGTTTTTGGACAGTTCTAATGTCATCCTCTGTTAGCCTGGCCAGATGATGTACACTTTACCAATCATCAACACTCATCCATCGGTGCTCGCCTCCTCTTACAGCTTTTATGTCAAAGCCAGAAAGTGCAACACAAAGGAATGATTGCTGTCTGATGTATAATATAAACACCAAACATTTATAACAATGTAATATTATTATTATATGTACATGTACAAGGTATACAGGCTTAGCTGACATCAGTGACATAGTACTGTATAGAAAGCCGCTTGTTATGCAGAGCATTTCTGGCAAATAGGCCAATTTTGTCCCGGGATGCGACCCATACCAGTCGACTAACACCCAGGCACCCATTTTATACTGGTGGTGAACATAGACAACTGGTGTAAGGAAACACGCCCAATGTTTCAGCCCTAACTAGGAATCTAACCTGGACATACCGTGTGAAGCGAGAGCTTCAGTTTATAGGCCACTAGCATGGTAAAGTTGTAGCTTTCTGGCATGATAATGATAGAGGAGGCTGGATATTCTTAAACGTTGTAAATGGATAGCTTTGTTCGAATGATTATACTTTCATTAAAAATTTTTATTCACAAAAATCTTATTCGAGATTTTTCCAAGAAAATAACCAGCAAAATTATTGTTTACACTTAGTTAGCCTATTGAAGTGCATCTTTTGTGATAAGTGAATGACAGTCCTTATACTAGGAGGGGAAAGATAAATTTAAAAAATAAGACTAATGGTTTACAGTTTACGCCAGATGGCCACTTCAGCGTTAGCAGCACTTGCATCTTTAGGACAGTTAAGGCTGTAGGTTGAACTATGTACAAGGTTTGTAAGGCTAATGGAAGTGGAAGTCAAATGTTACAATTCTTGCAAAGTGTGATTCATGGGTATTATATACATTACATTTTTCTTTAGGTTAACAGTAGTCACTTACTATTCAGTTTTTACATAATATAGCTGGGTGTAAGCATACTCCCAGTAGCATTCATGTCTGTAATAGGGTTCATAGAGTAAAATGAGAATTTTACAATACAGTGAAAGTAATATATTGTGTAAGGAGTACTGGGACAGAACCTAATATTTAATTCATGCAAGACCACATCAACACCAACTAGACCACTGGGTCGTAACTCACGAAATCGTAATAACACGATTACAAACCACGGAACGGGTGGGATTCAAACCCGTGGCGAGTAGGTGTACAGAATTGATTAAGATACTAATAAAGAATAAAAAAAAAGACAATAAAAACAACAGCGTTTGTAATCTTTGGTTAAATATAATTATATTGTGTTAATGAAGATTTGTGACTAAACAATATTTTACAGAATGTGTTTTTATTTACAGGTTTGTTACTATGCCAAGGAAAAGGGAGCAGGGTGCTTAGTCTGCAGCCATAAGCTTTTCTGCACTCTCGCACAAAACGTCCCTTCTATATGGAACACAAACTTCCATCCTCGCCTGACACAAGTTACAGTTCATCAGTAATTTCCGAATGACTTGGAAAAAGCATGCAACAGTGTTTCCGAATGACTTCGAATATGTATGCAACTAAATTGAATTAGGATTCGCAGTTCTTCATTTATTTGCATGGATTTAAATTGCATGTGTATCAGTAAAAAATGTATTGGTGAAACCTTTTGATAATTTTCTAATGATACTTTTAGATTCTAAATATTAATTCCAGTAGTACACATTCTGAATGTTCACTTGCTGGTAGTTGAAGTATTTTCTTAGAAGTTTCGGGATTTGAGAAACTCAACGAACTGAGACAAACTGTAGATGTAAAGCTATTTTTTTTAATGTTTTGTGGAAGAGCCTTAGAAATATGGCTGATAATCTTAATGTTTACACTTGTGAAGTGTGCGGCAAAACATTTTCACGATTGTGCAAGCTAAAGAGCCACACACATGTCCATATGACAGATGAAGGTCAATTATTTTGGGATGAATTTGCACAATTGCCAGATTTCATTGATACCCAGCAGTATGAGGAGATGAATCCCAGTTTATGCATGTTTAATAATAAAGGTATTAGTGAAGATAACCAGATAAATGATTGTCAGGTCTTTCATAAAGACGAGAAAACAAGGGAATCTTACAAAGAAAGCATTGTTAATTTAATTACTGAAGAGGTGGAAGTGTTAGTTGATGGTAGACTTTATTACGAATGCCAGGTTTGCAAACAGAGATTAACACAGAAATCTTCCCTTAGGAGTCACTTAAGAAAGCATACTGGAGAAAGACCTTATAAATGCAAGGATTGCGAGAAAACTTTTACATTTTACCAGTGTCTTTGGAATCACTCAAGAAAACACAAAAGGGAAAAAAGTTTCCAATGTAATTATTGTCAGAAATGCTTTGTGTATTACCAGAGTCTTTGGAATCATAAAAAGTCTCAGTCATGCAAAGAGCCATGTGTGTGTAGCATTTGCGGTGTTAAGTGTGCATATTTTTGCCAACTCAAGGCTCATGTAAGGCAACACATGGATGAAGATTCATACACATACAATGAAATAAATGGTGCAAATTTGAAAGTATACGGTAGGATCAACTTTGACGAGAAGTTATTTAAGTGCAATATTTGTGAGAGAAGATTCAGTGCCAACTCATCTCTTGAGAGTCATAAAATCCAGCATTCTAGTAACAGACCAGATCGATCTAAAATCAGTCAAGTTATGACAGATTCACCAATAATTGAAGGACAATTAGTAACGGTAGATGATGAGGATCATAGGCAATATAATAAGGGATATAAGCAATGTGATGCCTGTAAGAAGACATTCGTGTACACAAAATGTCTTATTAACCATTTAAAAACTCATGAAAATAAAACATTTATGTGTCATGTTTGTGAAAAGAGTTTTACAAAACTGAGAGATTGGAAGATTCACTCTAGAGTTCATACAAGTGAAAAGCCTTATGTATGTTTGGTGTGTGATAAATCATTCATTGAATACTGTGATCTTTTGAAGCATAATAAAGTGCATGCAAGTAAAAAAACATTCAAATGCGGCGAGTGTGGGAAATGTTTTCTACATTCATTTAATCTGAAGAGTCATGATCGAGTACATTCAGTTAGAAATCCATACAAAATAAGAAAACACAGAAAGAGACCAAAGTGCCACAGTGAACTACAAAACAACAAGAACATACCAACAGAAGTGAAGTCTGAAGGTAGGCTCTGCAGAGAAAGTTTCGCAAACTCAAACAAACTAACTCGGCATTGCAAAATGGCACACGGGGACATAATTGAGAAATCTAGGAATAAAGTATATAAATGTGCAGTGTGTGGGGCAGTTTTTGTTTCAAAAGATGACATTATGAATCACCAAAAATGTATAGATTCCAATATTTGTGACAAGCAATTTCAATGTAGTTACATAATTTGCTTTCACAAAAGTTCATATAATTATCATAAGGCATCTCAGGAGTTTATTGAAAGTAATGAAGAAAGTGACATAACTATGCTGGGAGCAAATCATTCGAGTGATATCCCGAATGAAAATGAAAAAAGCAAGGAAGTGTTATTTATTTTGCCAGAAAATCACGAACAGAACTACCTGGAAATAGTTGAAATTGAACTTAATAATTGCCAAGAATTATTTAAGCTTGAAAGTAATATTTACAATATTATTGAAGGCGTTGTAGAACAGGTAGGTGAATCCCAAGGAGAGAATGATTCAGTCATGAAAACAAATTTTGTTAGCCGTGATCAGTGTGTACCAGTATCCAACAGGTCTGGTGAAAGGCCAGGGATCCCAGATAAGTATATTTTAGTAGGAACTGCTGAGACTGTCATCCAAATGAGAGGCGGAAAACAATTATCTAGCACTGAAGTCACTACCGAACTTACATCATCTCAAGAGAGTTGTGTAGATACATTTCCTAATGGGGATGTATATAATTGTACGGAACATTTTGTGAATAATGACAGTCACCCCATGGAACTTATTGTGAATGGTGACAGTCACGACGTGGAACATGTTGTGAATGGTGACAGTCACGACGTGGAACATGTTGTGAATGGTGACAGTCACGACGTGGAATATACTGTGAATGGTGACAGTCTTGATATTGAACGTATTGTGAATGGTGACAGTCATGATATTGAACGTATTGTGAATGGTGACAGTCACGATATGGAACATATTGTTAATGGTGACAATCACCGCGTGGCATATACAAATAATGACAGTCACTACATTGAACATTTTGTGAATAATGACAGTCACCGCATTGAGCATTCTGTGAATAATGACAGTCAACGCATTGAACATTCTGTGAATAATGACAGTCAACGCATTGAACATTCTGTGAATAATGACAGTCAACGCATTGAACATTCTGTGAATAATGACAGTCAACGCATTGAACATTCTGTGAATAATGACAGTCAACGCATTGAACATTCTGTGAATAATGACAGTCAACGCATTGAACATTCTGTGAATAATGACTGTCACCGCATTGAACATTCTGTGAATAATGACTGTCACCGCATTGATCATTTTGTGAATAATGACTGTCACCGCATTGAACATTCTGTGAATAATGACTGTCACCGCATTGATCATTTTGTGAATAATGACTGTCACCGCATTGATCATTTTGTGAATAATGACTGTCACCGCATTGATCATTTTGTGAATAATGACGGTTACCACACGGAATACGTGAATAATGATGGTCACCACATGGATTATGTGAATAATGACTGTCACCGCATGGAGTACGTGAATAATATTGGCCACCGCATGGAGTATGTGAATAATGACGGTCATCGCATGGAGAATGTGAATGATGACGGTCATCGCATGGAGAATGTGAATGATGACGGTCATCGCATGGAGTATGTGAATAATGACGGTCATCGCATGGAGTATGTAAATAATGACGGTCATCGCATGGAGTATGTGAATAATGACGGTCATCGCATGGAGTATGTAAATAATGACAGTCATCGCATGGAGTATGTGAATAATGACGGTCATCACATGGAGTATGTAAATAATGACGGTCATCGCATGGAGTATGTGAATAATGACGGTCATCGCATGGAGTATGTGAATAATGACGGTCATCGCATGGAGTATGTAAATAATGACGGTCATCGTATGGAGTATGTGAATAATGACGATCATCGCATGGCACACTTTGTGAGTAATAACAGTCACCAAATGGAGCAATTTGTTAATAATGGCAATGATGACGTGGAGCATTTTGTTAATGACAGTCATTCTATAGGACATTTTGTTAAGAATAACAGTGTTCAGTGTAGTGTATGCGGTCAAGTTTTCTCCACATTAACTGCATGGGTCATGTAATGGGTCATATCAAATTTGTGTAGGTGAAAATTTTTGGCCCTTTTTCCAATTTGTTTATACACACCCTACGCGGGTGCATATTTGCTACAATTAACTATCTAATACCAAAATAATTTATGAATAATCCAAGCATTAGAATTGTCTTACTCAGTTTACAACAATGCAGTAATAAGCACAAGGTTTATATTTAAGTATTTAGATTTTGTATTTTGGAAGGGCTCTAACTGAACTAAATTAGCATGCCACGCCTTGAAAATGCCTTTTTATGTATATTGCAATTGAAAGTTTTTTTTTTTTTTTTTTTTTTTTTTTTTTTTTTTTTTTTTTCTTCAACAAATCTGTTTTCTTGCATATGTTATATATACCGAATTCTTATGGTTTGCTGTTATTTTCTGATAAAAATCTCATTCATCTTCAAGCAGCTTTTCCGATTTAAAACAATTGCATTGGTAAATGTGTTTAGCTTACTAATTGGAGTGATTTCCTATTTGATATTTTTGTTGTAAATGTTTATTTTATACATTGCTGTTTTATAGAGAGTTTCTTGTGGAAACAAGACATTTTCTCGTTACTTTTATTTTGAGGATCAGAAGCATACAAGTGACTTTTTATATTTTACGCTGTATTTGTTAACCCTTCAGAAAAAAGGGGCAAAGTTTTCGTTTTCTTGTGTGAAGGCAATATACAATTTAATTAAGTGGTTCATACCAAGTATGTGCTGAATTTCACACATAAGTAACTTGAATTTACTGAACAGTGAGTAGAATTTCCGTAGTGTTTGAGTGATGATTTGCAAGTTCGCTACTGAGTTTATCATAATGTAATAACTTTGGCGAAAATTTTATAAGCCAGTAGTAAGCAAATTTGTATGACAGTATAATAATTGTTGCATATATTAGTGTGAAATTTTTAAATTGAATTTATTAAAATTTTAATGAACAAAACCTGCTATTACAAAAAAAAGTAATGTTAATTCTTGAAGTTCATGAGAAAGTTATATTCTTTATTTCCATAAATATCTTTGTTAATTTTTATTATGTTGTGTTGCTTTTTAATTTATATATACTATGCATGTTTTGTTTTTTAAAATGGTGTTACTTTTCAGTTATTGCTTAAAATGGATTTTTATATTATTGAATAATTTTCTGAATGGTTTTCATTATTATTCTCAGTGAAGCAGAAAACTCGCGCTTTAATTCTAAATTAAGGCAAATACATTTTTGGCAGATTTTTTTTTCAATAATGCAAGTCTTTTTATTATTAATTTCTTGAAGGAAAATATTTTATTAAAACAGATTCTAATAAAACTTGGAGTTACCGTTACAAGTTTAATGGCATTTATATACTATTTGTAATTTAAAGTTCTCATATGGACATGATTAGATATTTTTTGTTAAAATACAGTTTTTCTTCAGTGTTCACTATTCACGTGAAAGACAAATTAATTTTTACTATATAAATTTTGAAATGCAGTTTTTTTCAGTGTTTACTACTCAAATTGGAGAAATAAAGTTCATTCAAAAAAACTGTTACTGCAGTTTAAAACACCTATTATATATGAATAAATAAATATATATATTTTTTTTCAACAAGTCGGCCGTCTCCTACCGAGGCAGGGTGACCGAAAGAGAAAGAAAATCCCCAAAAAGAAAATACCTTCATCATCATTCAACACTTTCACCTCACTCACACATAATCACTGTTTTTGCAGAGGTGCCCAGAATACAACAGTTTAGAAGTATATACGTATAAAAATACACAATATATCTCTTCAAACTGCCAATATCCCAAACCACTCCTTTAAAGTGCAGGCATTGTACTTCCCATTTCCAGGACTCAAGTCCGGTTATATTAAATAACCGGTTTCTCTGAATCCCTTCACTAAATATTACCCTGCTCACACTCAACAGATCGTCAGGTCCCAAATACCATTTGTCTCCATTCACTCCTATCTAACACGCTCACGCACGCTTGCTGGAAGTCCAAACCCCTCGCCCACAACACCTTTATCCCCTCCCTCCAACCTTTTCGAGGACGACCCCTACCACGCCTTCCTTCCCCTACAGATTTATACGCTCTCCATGCCATTCTACTTTGATCCATTCTCTCTAAATGACCAAACTACCTCAATAAACCCTCTTAATACTTTTATTAACTCCACACCTCCTAAATTCCACACTCCGAATTTTCTGCATAATATTTACACCACACATTGCTCTTAGACAGGACATCTCCACTGCCTCCAACCGCCTCCTCCCTGCAGCATTTACAACCCAAGCTTCACACCCATATAAGAGTGTTGGAACTACTATACTTTCCTACATTCTCTTCTTTGCCTCCATAGATAACATTTTTTGCCTCCACATATACCTCAATGCACCACTCACCTTTTTTCCTTCATCAATTCTATGATTAACCTCATCCTTCATAAATCCATCCGCTGACACGTCAACTCCCAAATATCTGAAAACATTCACTTCTTCCATACTCCTCCTCCCCAATTTGATATCCAATTTTTCTTTATCTAAATCATTTGATACTCTCATCACCTTACTCTTTTCTATGTTTACTTTCAACTTTTTACCTTTACACACATTCCCAAATTCGTACACTAACCTTTGCAATTTTTCTTTAGAATCTCCCATAAGCACAGTATCATCAGCAAAAAGTAACTGTGTCACCTCCCATTTTGTATTTAATTCCCAATAATTTAATCCCACCCCTCTCCCGAACACCCTAGCATTTACTTCTTTTACAACCCCATCTATAAATATATTTAACAACCATGGTGACATTACACATGCCTGTCTAAGACCTACTTTTACTGGGAAGTATTCTCCCTCTCTTCTACACACCCTAACCTGAGCCTCACTATCCTCATAAAAACTCTTTACAGCATTTAGTAACTTACCACCTATTCTATATACTTGCAACATTTGCCACATTGCTCCCCTATCCACTATCATATGCCTTTTCTAAATCCATAAATGCAATAAAAACTTCCTACCTTTATCTAAATACTGTTCACATATATGCTTCAATGTAAACACTTGATCTACACATCCCCTACCCACTCTGAAGCCTTCCTGCTCATCCACAATCCTACATTCTGTCTTACCTCTAATTCTTTCAATAATAACCCTACCGTACACTTTTCCTGGTATACTCTGTAAACTTATTCCTCTATAATTTTTACAATCTCTTTTGTCCCCTTTCCCTTTATATAAAGGGACTATACATGCTCTCCACCAATCCCTAGGTACCTTCCCCTCTTTCATACATTTATTAAACAAAAATACCAACCACTCCAACACTGTATCCCCCCCTGCTTTTAACATTTCTGTCATGATCCCGTCAGTTCCAGCTGCTTTACCCCCTTTCATTCGATGTAATGCCTCACGCACCTCTCCTACACACCTTGCTCTTCACTCCTTAAAGATGATATACCTCCCTGGCCAGTGCATGAAATTACGGCGTCCCTTTCTTCGTCGACATTTAAAAGTTCCTCAAAATATTCTCCCCATCTACTAACTCCCCTACTCTGTTTTTAACTGATAAATTCATTTGTTCCCTGGCTTTCTTAACTTGTTTAACTCCAAATTTTTTTCTTATTTTCATTAAAATTCCTTGACAGTACCTCTCCCACTCTATCATCCGCTCTCTTTTTTTCCTTCACCAATTCTATGATTAACCTCATCCTTCATAAATCCATCTGCTGACACGTCATCTCCCAAATATCTCAAAACATTCACTTCTTCATTACTCCTCTCTAATTTGATATCCAATTTTTCTTTATCAAAATCATTTGATACTCTCATCACTTTCAACTTTCTTCCTTTACACACATTCCCAAACTCGTCCACTAACCTTTGCAATTTCTCTCTAGAATCTCCCATAAGCACAGTATGATGTTGACTTCATTGTGTCTTGCATGCCAGCTCTTGGTTTTCGAACAGTTAAGACCATGTAGACCATATTGGTCAGCTTGCGCATCGCCGCAAATACACCTATATTCCGTGTGAACTGGGGCAGCAAGGCGCAGAGCCACAGCAATACGGAGGGTCTTAGGGTCGAGGCGTGTTCCCATTGCCAAAATGGGAACTGTTTGGAGGAAGTCCCCGGAGTGATGTGCACTCACAGCTTGGAGATGGGCAGTCTGTCTGATGTTACAGCCCTAAGCATGTTGGCAAGCACCTTCTCAGCGATGGGGCCATCCCACCTTGACTGTAGGCCAGTGCTGCACTAGGTTTTGGTGCTGGAGCAGCAAGAGTCTCCCATTCAGTGATGGCACTGGCATAGCTAGAGTCCTGTATTCCTGCTGAGTCACTGAGGTTGTCCGGAAGAATTTTTTTTATTAACTCATTTGATGCCATGGAAGAGGATAGGAAAGCTGGTAGGGCAATCTGGGAGAATTTGCGTACTCCCAGCCCCCCAAGCCTGACTGGCAGTGAGGCTTGCAACCACTGTCCATTTTCGAGAGAAAGATTCAATATACTCTCTAGCATAGTTACTGAAAAGCGAGAATCCCCAGTGGAAGTAGGTCATACGTACTAATCTACGTTCATGCCATAGTGAGTAATAGGCCTATTTAGCTTTCCAACTGCATTTCTATAACATTGTTTCAGTATTTTCTTTCTTAATATTATTCCTAATGCTAATCACAGATACATCGAAGTTATGCTCAACATTTTCCTTCAGGGTGTTTTCTTAGTTAATTTATCAACTTTACCATGAAGGAGTAAGCCAATGTGTAATGAAATCCATAAAATTTGCACATTAATTCCATGTTTCAAATATATGGTGGGTATGTTGAGCACTTTGTGCTTGACCGTCTACTTATTAAAGAAGAGAGATGATATAAGAGATTCTGACAATGCAATAACCTATCAAAATAAAATACCAGACATATTAAGCAAATTTCCTAAATTTGCTAGCAGTCCAGTCCAATTTTTTTTTATGTTAATATCCAGGGTTTATTACCTGGACGTCAGCAATGAGAGTCGCTACTCTCACTGCTGGGCAACGGCGAAAATTTGCTGGCAATAGGTAATTCAACTGTAGATATAAATCCAGATGTACTTCTGCTAACCTTTCGGGGCCTAGTTCTTAGGCCTTTTGTATATCCATATGCTCTTGCGCTACCATCCACAGGATGGATATGCGTGCACAATACACTAGCTGCCTCGGCTGCAAAATAAAAAAAATCACCTGTATCCTTTCTATATCTGGTTTTACGCAATCTAAATCCATTACTGCGAATCCTGCCCTGGTTATATATTTTCAGGACGTTATTTATACTCCCTAAATTTATTCTTGTTTTCC